ACAGCACATCATCATCATCACAACTAACTCAACTTTCATGAAGAATAAACGATTCCTCACGGCTTACTAGAAGATGAGTCATAATTACGACGATGATGATTATGATAACGCGACGATGATGGTGATGATGATAATAAGATTGTTGAGAATTACAGAAAAATTTACATAAAATGTTTAGTTAAGAAAACCATAAAAACAATAACGATACCTTTCCTTTGGCACTGGATGTGTTAACCTCCGAACAAAACATGAAAATCGAAAAAATTCTTTTCACACAGATTTCTATATTATTACGATTTGTAACATTAATTAATAAATAAAAAACCCACCAACCAATCAACCTACCAATCAACCAACCAACCTACCAACTAATTGACCAACCAACCTACCAACTAATTGACCAACCAACCAACCAACCAATCAACCAACCTACCAACTAATTAACCAACCAACTAATCAATCAACCAACTCATCAATTAGCCAGCCAATCAGAATCTAGCATAACTCTTTTATAAAGTTTGTAGACATACAGATAGATAATTTAAAACCAACAAACTTTTTGCCATTTGTTATAAAAAATTTAAAGCATTTATATATATATATTTATATACATATTACACATGGATACATATTTCATATACAAATATACATATGTATGTATATATACATATATATATTTAAATACACACACACACACATATATATATAACACGCAATTGAAGTTGCCAGCCTATATAAATTGTATTGATAAAAGACTAAAACGTATGAACGCAAATAATTTAGCGACCTCATTGTTTCATATAACTAATTCGGACTGGTGAATAATAATAATAAAATAATTATATTTAATTATTATTAATAAAATAATTATATTTAATTATTATTGATAATTATTTTTCGTTGTAGATGGAATAATTTACTAATATATGTATATGCACTATTTAATACACGTGTGTTGTTTGGTTACGTATTAGTGATGCTAAATTATTGATCTTTCTATAATATTATGGTAAGAATGTATGTTTGCTTGCATGTGTGTGTATCTATGTATGTTTGTTTGTATCTTGTGTGTGTGTGTGTGTTAGTGTATGTATGTACGTATGCGTTTATGTATGTACGTTTTTCCTAATTTCAATACATAAGCTCACGTGGGTAAGGCATTGCTTATTGATTTTTACTCGATATATACAATATTGATCGTCCTATTCAATTATTCTCTCTCCCTCTCTCTCTCATCTCCTCTTTATCTCACTTTATTTTTTAATTGTTTTTTTTTATTTGAAAAGTTATTTTTTTAAACTCCTCTACAGTTGGTGGCAATATTAGATGGATGGGAACTACTTTGACGAAGATACAGTTAAAGACCGTAAATGTTCAACAAACTGATTGGTTGGTTGAAACGCCAATCAGTCAATCAATCAACCATTTAATCAACCGACCAAACAATTAATCAAACAATTAATCAGCCAATCTGCCATAACTTATCCATATTCAAATTTCTAAAAAAAAACCCATTCTATTATAGTGCTTATATCAACAACAACATCAACAATAAAAGCAGCAGCAACAACAAATACTACAACATCAACACGCACAACGACAAAATGTACATCCCTAAAATTTCCCCAGTCCTGATTATCTTAATCATCCTAATCATTCTCTGCCTAATTTTAGGCGTACTCTACGCATACATATACTACACGAGAATCAGTCCCACACAGTCGAGGACAACTAGAAGAAGTTCGGCGCTAATGAAATCAAGTCAAATGGAGGGGGAAGAGAGCCTGGTACCTCAGGGATCTTCCGCAGGGGGTCCTACAGCGGCCTCTACCCACATATTTCTATTTAGAAAGACGTAGACGTGTGCCATATGTTTGGAATTGGTTTTTTTCCTGACGGTATATTTTTGATTTGAACAAAGTTGTACGGTAGTAGAGCGCTTCTTAAAACGATCAAGAGATTTGTTAATAAATTTATATTTTTTATATAAACATAAATTATATTTATATAATCAATTATTGATGTTAATTATTACGTAAATAAGTAAGAAACCGAACGATAGTACATACATTTCTCAATGTATCAACTCTATTTTACTGTTCATTTTGAGTTCCATGTAAAATTTTAGTGGCTATCAAAAAGCATTTGAATGAAAATCTTTCTCTTCCCCATCTCCCCTCTCTCTTTCCCCTTCTCTTTCTTTCTCTCTCTCCTTCCCTGATGTGGTTTGAGCAATCAAACAAATGAGAAATCAAATAAATGATCGAACGAATGAATGAAAAAATGAATGAATGAAAAAATGAATGAATGAAAAAATGAATGAATGAAAAATTGAATGAATGAATGAACGTATAAAAGGAACAAACGAAACGCAAAGAATGAATTAATCAG